GCATGGATACATTTTGAAGAATATTCCTAATTTGCTGTAAAATGTGTGTATGATGCAAATTGTCGCATGCCATACGTATTCTGTATTGTTTAAACCTTGTCTGCATGGATATGCTATATCTTTCTGCAATCCGCTGACAATGGGCCTGCGTTCCAACGACCAAGGAGAAGACAGGCATTTCGCTAGAACGGGCTTGTCTAATCGCCCTGCACATGCTGGGTGCCCGGCGCTTCTGCGAGCTCGGGCAACTTCCCCTGACTCCGCACCTATTTCCCCTCCAAACTCAGAAAGGGTTGAACATGCACAAGCTGAAGTGGCGCGAGGCAGGGAATAGCGGCTTCATTCGGAAATGTTTGCCAGACTTTTTCTACCAAACAACACAGATTTAAATTATATTTAATTATTTTATTTATTAAGATTATATGTTCATTTCCTTTGTAAATTCTGCCTTGTATAAAGATGTTTACCAAGGAACAGGAATGTGTTTGAATAGCCTGAACGAAAACTCAAATGACTGCGCACCGAAATTTTATCAAACTCTCCGAACGCTCTGCTAGTCAATATTAAGAGCAAGTTTCACACTCGTTTGCGCGCACTTCTTAGGCAATTGCACCCATTCTCAGTGCAGCTATTTATTGATAGGTTGAAGTCGCAGCGCGTCGTCTATGCAATCCAGGCGAGTAAAAACAGAGGCCAGGCAAAAGCCTACGGTTGGAAAGGCCAAACTTAATAAATACGACCCAAGTCTTGAACTTCTAGAAAGGAAAATGATCATTTCGAGTTTCCTTATGTGTGTGTATTTGTGTTTGTGGGTGAGTGGTTCCGTTCAAGTGTATCAGCTGCATTACATAGTGTGAAGGAGAACATTTAAGTGCCTAAAACGTCACATTTCATGCCCAATAGTGCCTAATTTTATAATGTTTATTACCTATTTTAGGCGCCTAAATCATTACTTTTCTGTGTCTAAAATTCCGAGGTCTCGTTATAATAGCGACTGCTAGGTGGTAAAATCGCAGACTCAATGTTTAAAGTACCAGTAGCTACTGATTGATTGGATGTGGTATTTCTAAAAAAGTCAAATGTTTCAGCTGTAGTATTTGAGTTTTCACTGTAGTATTTTCATTGAGAATTGTGATGGAATATTAATCATATCATAAATAATTACTGATAGATTTTTGATCATTGTGAGTAAAGTATTGAAATGTTACAAGTTGCAATGTTTTCTATAATTTCTAAAGTCCGGAATAGATTGAAAAAAAATATATAAAGTAAACCACATTTAACTTTTGTTGTAAAATCTGTTTTGACATTGGCTTTAATGTTAGAATTAAATAATGAAAAGTTGGATGACTACAATTTTAGTGATATCAACGTTTGTATTTTCTCCTTTTTATTTTGATCAGATAATAAATCCTAGTTATTAACATAAGCATCAATCTTTCTGCTTGTTATTGCAATCATATTGTCATAACTCTCGATCCGAGTCCAATCCATTGTTAAATTTTTGAATTTGTAGTAGTTGCTTGCTTTCAAATTGAACTTTTGATACTGATTCTGAAATTGCATAAATTGAAGTGCATAAATCGAAAAACCTTGAGCGTGTTGAACTTCACATATGGTTTTTGATTTGTTGAAGAGAAGTATCACCCTCATAATGTTTACAAGTAACTGTACTTTCAGAGCACTAGCAACGAATTGCCATGCATTAGGATAACTACTTTTGTCCATAACTACAAATAGTTGTATTACTATAAAATGATTGCAGAAAGAATATTTTGTCTAAGAACGCAACCAATGGCTTCAGAAATACACGAAGTTTCTGAAATGAACAGAAAAGTGTCCTAGCTTTTATGGTAATGTGTGCAATGGTGTGCCCAGCGAATATGCAGTTTATAAACGCCCCGGGGACGGGACCTCATTTGTTTACGTATGAGGTGGAAATACTGTTGCTTATTGCTGTCAACGGACGGATTTTGCGCGTACGCCATGTCAGAAAAATATTTCTGAGCGGACTTTTAGCGTCGGGAAGGTAAAAGTGAACCGTGAAGCCGTTGGTACAGAAGTAACGTGACTGGCGTGTTTACTTTAAGGATCTGACTCAAAAATCCCAGCACGGAAAAACATTTTGCTGGGAGGAAACTCTTTTGTAGCTTCACTGAGTATTATAATATCGTGTAACCGTTAATAACGCAAGAAAGTGTGCTGTGTTATTACCACTAGTTTTGAACATAACACTTTCAAACTATGTGTACTAAGGTACATATATAGTCAATAATATCATAGAAAAGCGTTAAATCGACTTTTCTCGATTGTTTTGTAATGATAGTTTTTGCCAAAAGGTATGTATATACAAGTTTCACAGAAACGCCCTGTAATCTTCAAGGGTGTTTCACATTTTTACTTTATTTACCATTGTGAGGGTTGGCATTTTGGTTGATAGAAAAGCATTTACCTTGTTGTCAAGACAACAAACATCATTAATCTTTATTTAGAAGAATAAACTAAGCGTATCCTTCTCGATTGTCTAAGTCAAACTACAAAACTGAGATGAGTGTTGTAATAAGACTTATTACGATACAAGCATTCGTGGTTCATTATTAACAAAGATAATCATTTGCCTTTTGCTAGTAATATTATATCAAACCTGTGGCGTAACTACTATGAACATCAGTTAATCATATTTTGCAGGACGAATAGTCAAATTTAACAAAAAAATAACCCTTTAATTTTGAACTATACACGTGAATTTTTTACGAAGTGCGTCTATCATTCTATGATCTTCCACTGGTAACATCTTATTACAATATTCAATTGGTTATCAATTTCGACTAAACACCTTCTTTCATAATTCTTCAATATCGTATTGTAATAAGATACCTTACGATACTTGTGTCGTAAATAATTTGACCAGCATTCGTGGTTGAGTATGCGTATAACAAGTTGTTGATGCGTTCTGACTTACTGGATCTGAAACATGGTAAGAATTCTTCGGTGTTCCACCCAGAGTTGATTATTGTATGAAATATTTATATACATTCAGTCTCGAATCCAGAAACACCGTAAGGGGAACTTTCTATTTAAGGACGAGTGCTTTTTCTGCCAAAGTTCAACACGTGTTTCGAAAAATTGTATTGTGTAAACAACCAATAACATAATATTATACACAAATATCTGAAGTTTAGTATTTGGCCACTACCGGAATCTAGTTCGTGCGACAACTACTGTGATCGGTAACTTCCCGTCGTTTCCCTCCCAGGTTAATGCCAAAATACCAAGTACAACGGCCACGGATTGAAAGCGATTCCTTTATTACGCCCTTTCCCTACGCTAGGGCCACGTGGTGAGCGGGTGGCCCATCCTCCATTGATTTAAAAGAAAACCGAGTCGGAGATCAGAGAAAATCTACAACGGGACCAATTGGTCCCGTTGGGACGAAGGGAGTGCGTATTGGCAATGTCTAATCGGAGAGTACTTTCTCCCTCCCGTTCGATCCGTCCTTGAGATTTTCTTGACTCTAAAATATTTTTATAGTACGCACCTAGTTCTACATATAAATGAAATGAAAGAAAAATGCACTTATTCCAAATAAGCGCCTTACAAAACGTTTTTTCTATAAAAAAAATATCGACACTTTTTCGTGCAGCACTACATAATTCTCTTTACAGAGTACGAGAGAGTAAAGAGAAATTACTATAAGAAGGGAAAGCTATAAGCTACTGCTTGACCATTTCTGGCAATATGCTAACTGCAAGTTACGTCCATGCACTCATTTTGTCAATGCTGTCTTACAGTTAGCAACATTTACGTTTCTTACATTAGCAAATGGCGTCATCACTGTCTCTTGCAATGTCATCGCCCTGCATGTCGTTCATTTGTTTCCCGACCTGTCGGTGGTCCCTTCTTAGAGTAATTCCTTTATAAAGAATTACCCAAGTTGGCAAGTTCAAACCGGATCGAAAACGTGGATTTTTAATCCTTCGGAGGCGAAGTAAATCCGGCTGCCCATGTTAGCATATTTACTGCATTTAAAAAATCCTCAAGCCTAAATGAAACATCTGAGCTAAATTCAAAAGTCGCCTGTTTTGTCGCCCAAGAAATACCTCCTTTCTCCGCTAGTTGGTGAAAGGAGCGTAGCGAAATTTGCGTGGTCAGACGGGAGAGCACGTCTCATGGCCTGAGTCTCGCCAAGTAAAATGAGGCAATTCAGTTCTATAAAAGTATACCAGCCGTGCCAGGATTTCAACTCGCGACCCACTACTCGTCAGTACAAACTCGATCTTACGCAATTGCAAACATTCATCTTTACAATGGCCTGGGGCACTTAATACAGACAGAATATTAAAATGCAATTCATTGCGTTTATTCATCACGGAAATGTACTTCAGATGTCAGAGATAAGAAATTCATGATGAAAAATGCGGAGGAATAAAATATGCGCCACTACAATAGTTCATTTTAGTAATATTCATTTTGAATTAGAAGCTGTATTTTACAGTGCCGGCTCCGCAGCTCCGATTCTAAGCTGCTTATCTTTTCTTCTTTTTATCTATTTTTTCACCTTGGCCAATAAGCCAACGCTGCCAACAGAATGGAATCTCGTTTTCCCAAAGATATTTTTAGACCCCCTTGATTCAGATCCCCCCACATGTCATTTCACTATAACCATTTTTAACACCCCGTCCAAATCTTAACAATATCATACACATATAATCTTTCATTTCTCACCCCAATATAAAACTTTTTTGTTGATTTTAACGCCTGCGCAAGACATTTAATCAACGTGGAAAATTATCCAAGAATTATGTATATGTATTCCTAACTCTGTAGGACCACCTTGTCGAGCAGATAAAGCGAAAGAGGCATGCATTCTAAAATTCCCAAGAAGTAAACGTTAAAATCTTACTCGCTTACTCTTTTATCCTTGACTCGTTCTGTGTCGCGCGCTCACTCTCGAACACAAGAAATGTTATTTGTAATATTATGTTATTTTTTCTTTGCAGGTTTTTCTTTGAAAGTGAAAGAGGACTGTTTCCAAACACTGAATTCGTCTTTGACTTGGAACTTCCTTTGGATTTTGTGCCGTATAACAGTGACGGTGAAGTTGAAAAATTTGAACTTCTACCAGCTGATGTAAGCTAAATAATTTTATATGCTTTTATATACATTGTTATCATAAATATGTTTGCATTTAATTTATTTTAATACATTTGTATCATATTTATTTTAGAGTACGTAAATATTTTTTAGTGTATGTCATAGTCGTAAATAGTAACACAAACCTAAACTGATCATGATAAAAAATCATGTTTTACGTTACAGTCTGCAAAAATTTTAATAGTTGAAAGTCTGTTTTGCGAGAATGGGTGTGTTCTATGTTATGGTTTGGACATTGTTGTCAAGTATCCTATTAAAACGTTCTCCCTCAAGTTTGGGCGTGCATTCTCTATGACATTGTCTTGGAAAAATTGGATTTACTTTCTCGGAAATGACGAAGTAATAATTCTGGCCGATATTTTACAAGCTCAGGGGCAGAATTTGCAGCGAAGACGGGCTTCGTGTTTGAGGGTGCAGCGGGTTGCGTAGAGCTTCTCTTCAGGGCGCTTGAGTCAACATAAACGCATAAAATCATCAACGCCCCCGCAACTTAAGTATCTTAGTGCAAAATTATCCATGAACGGAGAGTGGAATAATGGCTGCCCGAATTAAAGGAAGAATTATGCTCAACGAAATCAGCCGCGCAGATTGCCGGATTTGCCTTTAAAGCTTTGCGGCCCAGTGATCAAATCTCTAGTTCTGTCGGTTGTGAATTACGGGGCGGAAATCTGGGAAGTGGGTAGGAGAGATCAATTGGAAAGCACCGAAGCGAATCATTAAAACATAATTCTTGGAGTCTTTAGATTCGCAGCAAAAATTTGAGTATTAAAGAGAGAGAGAGAGGTCGGTAGCGTAGGAAGTTAGAAAGATTTTAAAATAAAACCTATTAACCTTTGGATTAGATTAGGTGAACAGGCCTTCACGCTTATACGTAGGAGCTTTGGAGGGCAATTACACGAAAGGTAACTGCACTATTGGTCCTAAAACGTTAAATTATTAGAGCGCCCAGGTCTGGTTGACATTTTTTCGGTGATGGGTAGAGATAGGGGTTTACGCGAAGGGGTACACGCGAGGTAGAACGGTCGAAATAAGGGCGAAATATCCTGGCAGCAATAGCACAAACACGCTCGCTAAAGCCCTAAATTTACATTAGTCCGGAATGGGGTTGAGATAATTTTGTTTTCCTTCTGAGAAGAAAGCACAGAAAGATGGGGAACAAAGAGGTACACTTTTGCACTTGGTCAAACTTCAACCAGTAGATTTCAGCCGATTTCGACAAAATTAAACATAACGAAGGTATTTCATTTTTGCGTCCACTGCTACTGGCCAGAAGTGAGTTGGAGAAATTATAGCGTTTGATCTATTTACATTGATAGGAAAAGCGCGAGATTGCGATCAAACATTCGGATGGGAGTGCCTTTAGTTGTAAACATAAGATGCATACTCCCGGCAAGAGTTTCAGTAACAAATCTCCTTTTCGCCGCTTCTTGAGATGAGTCTTGAAAAATCCGCTCTTGGTCGTTTCATGGACCGTAATACTAATTTCGATTCGAAATTTCTTGTTCGTATCTTTTGTAGTTTTAGCTCCACTAATAAGCCAGTTAGTCAAGACTTGACTCGTGTTCTCGCATATTAAGAGAGATTTGTTATTCTTCTTAGGTGTCGCATGGGTCACAATCCTCTCAATTTCCTTATTAGTTAATGATATTAGTACTACGCGTTGATTCAAGTTATTGTAATATTCGAAAATGTTTTATTTCAAATATGTGAAATTTTCAATGTTGAAAGTAATTTTATGGATAGTTTTATATTTACGAAATAGATGTTCACATGGACATCATGTGTATTACGTGCAGTGCATCTTATTTATTAACTGTACTATTCTCTTTTAACAGCAAGCATTGGAGAAAGTATTTTCAACAGAATTTAAAACAACAAGTTGCCCAGTAGTTGTTGATTTTCTTATCAGGCATGGGAAGATTTCTCCCGAAAACGGTAAGTTGTATTTGTCCTCAATATTATGTTTTAATTTACTGGTTCCAAAACATTTATTTAAAATATTGCCTCCTATTTTGTATGTTCCGAGAAACGAATATTTGTTACTTCCCTCTACATTAAACACCCAAAATGTTCTGGTTGATATAAAATTCAACTTTCAGAAAGAATACCATAGAAATTTTCTCAATGTAAGAAAAATGCATTGCAATTGTTTGGATTAGAATTATTTCTCTCCTCTAACATATTATTATAAGTATTCAAATTTATAGTGTTATTATTATTATTATAATTATTATTATCATTATCATTATTATAATCATCAGGGGCGCCCTGAGAAATCCAGAAGCCTGGAACAATTTATCCACGGAGGCTCCTAGTATCAAACAATAAATTCTCTCCCAAACAGAATTCATTTCTCCATGCATCAGAAATAATTTACAGTGTTAAATTTAGAGTAGAGATACACACATTTTTGTATTTATTTTGAATGAAAAAAAATCGGGGCTCCAATTAAGTCAGGGCCTGGGGCAAGTTGCTCCAGCCTCCCCCCTCCCGGACGCCCTGTCTATTATTGTCACCGTTAGTTTAATCGTGTGTTATTTTCATAAATTGAGCCAAAGTGATAAGACTTGCACATTTACTCGTGTGGCGTTGACCAAGGGCAGCTCTAGTCAAAGTGAGATTGACATATCACTGCATTCTGCAAAAAACAACCACGCCACTACGAAATTACCAGGCAAGTAGGCGCGGCAGCCAGCAGTGGCGGCGCGTCACGTCGGTTGCCTTCGGTCACATAGCGTGTGGTGCTGTCATAGCGCTTCCAATCATCTTCTAAACCTTGACCCAATTAGCTGGGGTCGGCCTTTTCGGATCGCTTACTACGATCTATTATTTTTGACTGTGATTTTTACAAGCGGCTGTCAGTCTGAGGTCAACCCCCAATCCGGAGGACCAAACTTCGTGACTTCACGTAGTGACCGAAATCGACTTGCCAACGCAGATTTTGCTGTCGTGTTCTTTTCAGTAGAACCATCCCAGCATTCGCCTAGATGATTGAGGAAAACCACGAAAAACCCCGGTCAGGATGGCCGGCGCGCAGATTCAACCCGGGCGATTGCGATTGCCTTCCGCCAGCGCGCTGCGCCCTGATCCAATTCGCTCGGTGGCCGTAGCGCTGCCAACGGTTTTTGGGCATTCAGAAATACAGTAAAATCTGTCTAAATCGGAACCTTTACAAGTCGGAAACCTGCCTTAACCGGAAAATTTCTCGGGCCTGTGAGGTTAAATGGTATTTTACTCAGAATAAAACGAAATTGTCCAACGCTGGAACGGAACAGTTTTTCATGTCCTGCAGGGGAAAACCCTTCATGAAATGGAATTTCTGCGAATTTAATGCAATTGGCAGAGAGACGCCGGATACTGTTCATGGAATGAATTCATCTACAAGCCCTTTTTAATTTCTCTGTCCCTGTGATAAGAGTTTGTCGTGACAGCCGCATAGTGAAGGCAAGGAGCTTCAGTTGTCAGCGTAGAATTCCACCTTGGTCTCTTGTCTCTCAAGGTCTATGCCCTAGGGGAATTCCCGCTCTCCCCATGGTTTGTATTCACGCATCTCCCGGCCCCGCGTTGACAATTGTAACTCCTCGGCCGGAGCCTCATTGGTCAAGGCCGTGCAAGGGTATCAGAAAGAAATTGAGATTTCTCGACGAAAAAACTCGTATTGCGAGGCACTGATATCGAGAAATTGGATAAATATTGTTTATTTATATATAGCAAATTATTTCCTCTAATACGTATTGTACCCAGAAGCCATGTTTTGTGGGTTTTTGACACTGAAAAATCCGCTTATAACAATACTTCGATCTGTCCGCCTGTGCACAATGGTAGAATCTAAACTGATCTAACGACTTTGTCCAAAATTGATATTCCCTCCATCAATCAGACCTTGGCCCTCCAAATATGAAACAGTTTGATTTTTGAGAGTGCTTAACTTACCTGACTAGGTGGTAAAATAATAATAACAGATTTGTAGTAACTATTATTGTTTTCAATTTCCAGAGCCTAATTTTCCTCAAATTGTGGAGTTGCTGCATGTTCCCCTGCAGTCTCTGTATAGAACACACAGAAGGCAGCCACCTGCAGAAAATGGGCAGAATAATATTTCAATGAATTAAGAGAGATTTTAGCAATTTCTTTTTGGGCAATGACGTTAGAAAGGAGATGTACGTATTGGTTAAAGTATTTGTATTTATGAACATTTTTAGAGGTATTTAGATTGGTAAGTTTTTTGTATGTATGACCATTTAAGAAAAGGATATATACTTAAAAAACTTTTACTAGTCATATTGCCTGTTGGCTTCAATATTTGTAATTATGGTGTCATTTCAGAAGTTATTTATTTATGTTAACTTCTTTACGCTTGCTTAAATCATTGTCACCTCAATTGTGAGTGCCTACAATAATCAATGGCTTTCTTATTTGGTTTTGGAACTTTACATTTCTTTGGTGAGGTTTTTAATTACATATACATACTAGTTTCTTTTATAATTTACTTGAATGCATGAGTGTACACTTGTGCATATAAAAAATGAGTGTTTTGAGGTTAATAGTATCACTTTTCATGGCGTGAATGGTGCTCAAAGTTTGCCTAAACATTAGGATATTCTCTCTAATAATACTTTTGAAACTGCAGTTCAAGATCCATGTGTGCCTGAGAAATAATTTGTCAAACCAAATTGAGAATTCAAGGTGAAGTGAAATAATGATAAAATTAAAAAACATACACCACTGAATCCATGTTCCACATGTTGCATGTTTCACATCTAAAGTTGTTTTGAAAACAGTCTCTGTTATTGTTGATGTTCATGAGAATGGCATATTGAAAATAATGGATGTTCTTCAGATTTTTGTATCCATTTCAGTTAAGCCAGATCATTACATCAACCTTAATGGGTGCAGTGTATCACATCATCCTTTCAGGAATTGAAATATTTCTTAAGAATCTGAAAACTACTTCAGAAAAATTGAATGTAGTATTATTTGCAGTCTATCAAGTGACTTGGACTACTATATTTTTGTTAGAATAAGAGCATGTTGAGAAAACACTGTTGAAGCCCTGCTATGTTTACAGAGAAAATGGGTTTCAATAATTTTATGATTTGCTACAAACGTTACCAAAATTTTAACAATTTAACATGACCATTTTTAATTGCCTACAATCTATTCCATGACTTAAAGTGAGGAAGAAATTTGTCAGTATTGCATCAAATACAGTAATATTGAAATAGTTTTGAAACTTGTGAGACAGTATAAATGATATCTGATTCTGTCTCAAAAAATATTATTTCATATTGTATCATAAAGACATGTTTTGGTTAAATTTGTTCTTAAAATGTGTATCCTCTTTTGAATGACATTTATTTTGAAATTTAAATACTGACATTTTACTTTCTCCTTGAAGCAATATTGTATACATTACAATAAGAAATCATCAATTTTATGATTTAAAAAAATCCTTTATAATTTAGGAAATGCATGTGAGACATATTGTGAATACATTGTTTATTCTTAATGCATTAAAAATGATGTTTCTTAATTGAATTCAAAAAGGGTACTGTTGTTGTACAAACAAATAATGTATACAAAATGAGTTTTTTGTGAAAAACTTTCCAGTACCAATATTAAAAAAATACTTTGTGAATTATCAGAAAGCTTGAAAATCTAATGCTTCTTTTGATTATGAGGTATTATATTGCTAAGGGAAGAATTATAAAAAACAAAAAGAAAAAAGGTCCAAAAACTTGCATCGAAATACTCGGATATCAAATCCATTTAGAAACAGATCAAAATTCCTTGTTGTAGCCTAAACAGTTAATAATTCTGTTCAAATGGGCTTTGAACGTGTGGTTAAATCAACAAGTTAACACAATAAATTACTCTAAAATGTGTAACGTCTTTGTAAAATGAATTAATGTAAGTATTGGAGTGCATATTGTAAAAAACAATAAAAATTAGGCTCTAAAACGTGTACTTTTAATGAAAATAATAAAAACTAATTGCTGAAATACAGTTGACCAAAGAATATAAGTAGTGTCAGACCTCGTGTAGTTTGGTACAGAAATATTCAGTACTTCTATACTGTTTTTCACGTTGAAGACTTGTCGTATGGAAATTCTGCACATTGTTGCCAACACAACACATTCGCTTGCTCTCTCGCTCATGAATTGTCAAAATCACTCTTACCTTTCTTAATGCAACTATTAAACAAAAAAAGTTTATTTTTTTCCACTACTATTCTTCTTATACTTCTTCTTTTCTTATTCTTCTTCTTCTTCTTCTTCTTCTTCTTCTTATTATTATTATTATTATTATTATTATTATTATTATTATTATTATTATTATGATTATTATTATTATTATGATTATTATTATTATTATGATTATTATTAATATTTTATGTTATAACCGTAATTTTTACTTCGTGGATAGAAGCAGCTTAAAAGAATGGTGCAGGGCATTTTTTTTAATGAACTCTGAATTTTCGAAAATTGCAGATTTAGTAATGCGAGAAAGTATATGCTGTTGGAGCACCACTAGTTTCATTACCATAGGTATATAATACACAGGGACCCTTATTCCCTCATATTCCCCCTGTACTCCCTCATAATAGAAAAAGATATTTTCGTAAATTGTTGATTGTGTCGTCAAATATTGATTAATTAATTTACGCAATAAATGATTCACTATAACAAACATTTATCCATTTTTCATTAAAGTACATTGTTCCGTCTACCATTTTAAAATATTGCAATCTTCGTAGATAAAAATGTCACCATGAAATTAAATTATTACTTTCTATCATTAGAGCCTTTTTTCTCACTTTCCATATTCAAATCTCCCTTCTATCAATACGCAATAAAATGTAGAATATTTTAAATTTGGTAAGTTTGTCGTTAATATCTTTCATTACACATACGATTTTTGCAGGAACATTTTTAAACAGAAGCGCATGGAATTTGAGATACACCGTATGTACAAAAATGTTTTACTTCACTTTCCTACTGATTCTATACTTCAGTCCAATTAACTTTATTTTTCTTGAGGTTGTTATTTCTCCATTCTCATTTTACTTTTTCATTCTAAAGAAGGAATGTCTGCTGATGTCCATTGGTCTGCAAAGTTCATTCAGTACTTCAAAATTGTTTGTTGTTTTGTTTTTTCACCACCTTTTTCCTGTGATCCATTTTCATCTCTTAATATTAACACTGTGCAGGATCGACTACATTAGTACCATATCTACTTTTCTTTACCACTGCACGTCAACATTTTTACTTGCTTCTACCGGCAAAACTCAACTAACCAGAATACTCAGCAAGATGAATTTCACGGAAGATCTCCTCGTGATACTTCGAGTATTGATTTGAATAGCCCAGCGCCACCTAGACATACTAATCTAGGTGGTGGTGGTTGTTTTTGTTGAACTCTCACTTTTGCTGATAACGTCATATGAACAAACACTTCCTTTCAGCTGTACAGGTCACAACACATCCTGTATTGAGGCCTTGTCATTCCGACGTGTCTCCCGTCGAGCCTAAGGCACGCGAGACTCGATTTAAAAGTAAACGGCAAATACAAAGCAATGTTTCGGAAAACCTTCAGGTGGTGATAGAAAATAATTTCATCATTTTCCCCAAAAGCTTTGTCACTGGGAGTTTTAATTGGACTTCGAGAAGAACAAATGCCAACAATGATATAATTTTTGTAATGTGCAAATTAAAAATTCACTCAGTTTTGATGATGATTCATTAATTTAATGCGTCACATTTCAACATATTGATAAAATGGTAGCATTGGTCACATTTCAACATATTGATAAAATGGAAGCAAACTGAAATTTGCATAAATTTTTCCAAAATATTTTCTCTAATTTTTGGATGTGATTCAATGGTTTGAATAAAAAGGCATTTAAAAAGACAGTTCCACAGACTAACAGCATTTTTATTATTTTATGCAAAAAGCAACTAAATGACACTTTTTAAATATTAATCATTGTGTTTCTCATAATTTTCTATACAGGACTACGTTTTTTTTAACTTTTGTAATCGATATGCGCATGTTTTTGTTGAACTCTCCTTTTGCTTCTAGTGGTAGGAGAAGGGCAAGTTACTATTTTATTAACAATGCAGAAAATAAAATCTGCAGTTCGTTTACCATTGCAAATAATTTTTCTATAACTCGGGATAAAAAATGTCTAGTTTTTCAAATGCTGCTAAACTTGAGCTTTTTTATAAATTTAATTTTTATTTATTTATCTTTAACTTATACTCCTCTTTCAACTGTTTATAGTTAAAATGATGGAAAGGGATTCTGGAACTCAAGAAAACGTGTGCAGAAAATCTTCTCCCCCATTCGTCACATGCAGTTTTTCTTTTTCTTTTTTTTCTTCCCTTTTCTTTTTTTTTTTTTTTTTTTTTAAATAAGTCTGAATGTATATCTAGATATGGCAGCATTGCAACAAACATAAGAATAACATTGTCCAAAGAGCCCATTTGCCTTCTTGATGTGAAAATGATTGTAGGTAATTGGAACTTACCCCAAAAAGATGATATAACAGGTTACCATGCACTGCCTAAAAAGAAGAAAAAGTTAGCTCTGAACTAATTACTTGTAGATCTTGGAAACTTCTTGATGAGATCACGTTGAGTAGAGAGTTACCCACTTTTTTATTTATTAATTCATATCACTAAATATGTCTATTTACCAGGATCACCATGGTTGACTCTGAAATAAAATTCATCTTCCTAGTTAATGTGTTCATATGAATTTCTGCAAAAGAACATATGATCTTAGTTGCTGCAAATAGATCTTACTAGATGAAACTTTTCCTGTGGTAATATATGTTTTAACTTTGAATGATTTTGGATATTCATCCATTTTCCTTTATTTTGTTACATCCAAAAAATTTATTTCAGGCTACATATTGATGAAATAATTATATGAGTCAATCACGACTCATATAATTATTTCATTGTAAATGCCAACGAAAACTCACCACAATACCAATACATATTGATGGTTGATAGAAAATGAAATTTAACCTGTTTGTGGTCTTTGGTTGTGTCATGCTGATGGTGTTTTGAAAATTAAAATTTCATTTTCAAATAACTGCTCAAAACTCTATATATACATATATGTGTATGTGTATAATATAAATTTTAATTTTAAAGAATATAAATAAACTTTAATTTACTTGTCAGAATAGAGTAAAACGGACCTATAAAGAATGCATATGTCCGCTTATTCACTGCTCGCTCTGAATTTCAAAAATTACGAAAGTTTAAAGTTTACAATATTAAAGATGGAGATTTTTTTCTTCAAATGAAATTTGTTCCTCAGGATTAGATCATCAATAAATGCGATGTTCATTGTTTTCAAAGTAATAGTGTTTGGGTAATTTTGAGCAAAATAGGGCAATAATAAAAAAAAATTAACACCAAGATTTTCTCAAAAACAGCTTCAAATTATTCTTCAAGCACTTCTGAATGCACTGTTTAAGATGACATAAACACCATTTTGCTGTAATATTTTTTTTTAATTACACAAATGTACCTTTTTAATATCTCTGTGTTAATATTTACATTATCGGCAATTTACATACATTATTGTTTTTGTGAATTCAAGTTGTTCAAATGATGTCTTATTAAGTTTACTGTGAAACTGAGCTTCCAAAATTGCGCACTTTGAGGAACACTCAAAAAACATTTTCTCAAAAATCTCTCATCTTTAAATTTTTCAGTTAATATTGTGTACAGATAGTGTTCGAAAATACTTAAGTTTACTTCACAAATTAGCTCGAAATTGCATATTTTCACACCCGATCATACGACATTTTATCAAAAAGAGCTGCTAATTTTCTAATAAAAATTGCAATATCTATTTCCAAACAAATTTGCATATAGGTCCTAATTTTATTTTCCTGATACTCTTAGTCATATTTCAAGTCTACGATTAGAGGACAGAAAAATTGAACAAATATCTTTTATAAGAAATTATAGGTCTTATAACAAGGACATTCTGTTTCATAGTGTAAATGAGAATGGTCCGTTTTAATTTATTAAAAAAGTATTTTGGTGAGAAAATGCGTTTGAAATTGTGCAATGGTTTAGTTGGGAAGAGGGGAGATCCGCCCCAGGTGGCACAATTTTTGGGGTGACACCATTTCGAAAACTTTATAGGTGGAATTATATAATTTTAAAAATTACATTTCAATTAGTCTGATTTACATAGATTTTTATTATATTAAAAATAAATGTCATGTGCAAATACATTTGTATTTTTATTAAATAACTATTCAGTAATAGATTATTTTTATATTAAATTAATGTTGTTTGCCAAGTTGTCATGTAAGTGAATTGCTTCCGTCATGTTTGTTATCATGTAAAAGAAGAGCTCTAAATTTTTTTTCTGAAATGACGAATGTTGTTTAAAAGTATTAGAAAATTACAAGAGGTCTCATGCAAACATTCTGCTCATTATAAGTCATTATGTTACAGCTTATTCAAAGAAACTTTCATTGTCTGGTTTTAAATTTTCATTACATCACAAAGGCGCAGTGTTTTGTGTGGGTAAACATTTTAATACGGTGTTGTTAAACAATTATTGAGCAGAACTTATATCATAATTAAATTCTGCAGAATATCAAGTTGCAGTAAATTTAATTTTACAAAGATATCTAATTTCTCCTGATTTGTTACCATCTGCTGATCAGAGAGAAGCACCCACAAAAGCTAAACCTTCAAAAATGTAATATAAGATTAAAAAAGTGTCATTTTGTAGATTATGGTGTAAGAAACATAATTACACAACCTGGGCCTATATGGAGACTCGAAAACAAGGCCCTAGGATGTACCGTTTCAGAGTTTAACTTAATGGTAATGTATGTTGCAGTGTAACAAGTATTCCGTGAACCCATGCTGATTAATAGCCCTAATAATAAATAATGTGTAGGCCTAGTATTAAAATATTAAATTCATGCATATTTCACTTGTGTTCTGATGCTTTCAATGAATGTACATTTTTATGCCATTCCATTATGTACATAACTTCATAAAGGGTTGAAACCATTTCCTTTCCGTGAAGTAATGTGTAAAGAGAGATCCTGTATAATTGGATTCATCCTGTGTATTTAATCATCATCAAATTCAAAAAATCGCTACAGTTAATTTTACAAAATAGCTGAAACACATATCGTTAACTGACACTGGACGATAATGCGTTAATTTAACCACTGTCACCATTGGATACTGTGATTGAGGTAGTGTTTATTACAAAAGT